ATGTATGTATGTATGTATGTATGTATAATATGCAAATATATATATATATATGTAGAGATGCACTTGTTTGCCGAGACCAAACCTGGCCTTCCAGTGATGACAGGAACGATCTGAGAGCCTGGCTACACTCTCAAAGGAAGGCATCGGTGTTTTCCTCGGCACTCAGAGGGGAGCAAATATTGTCCATGCATGAGTCACTGTGAAAAAGATGACCCTCTTGCCCTTTTGGGCCTGGTCTGACTCGCCAAAAACCAGCCCTTTTCACAGATCAAATGTGAGATGGTGTGAGTGTTCAAGCCATACACCGGGAAGCTATGACAGGCAAGACTTCAGCTGCAAGGTGGATCACTGCATCTCCGAACTTGAGCCTGCTGGTCTAAGCCATGAACGGAGATACAAGGCGAAGCACTACGTGGAAGCTGCAGCCAAAAATGCAACCGCCAGGGTGAGCTACTTCCACAAGTCCAATGGACAACCCTTTCAACAGAAAATGTGTCAAGAGCAACAACACAGTATACATTATGATCATGACCCACCTCGCGGGCGAAATACCTCAGCCTGTGCATGACTTGTGCACGCACAGTCAATCAAAGCCAGATCATCCTGCAGCCTCCAGCTGTGCCTGGGAGGACTGATCTGCTATGATCTGATTTGGCCTAATTCTGCAAGGGGGGAAGAAGGCCTTATGGCTTTGGTAGGCCATCATCTTCTGAGCTCTGACTTTGAGATCTTCGTGACCCAAGACATTGGCATCGGGACCGTGGAAGAGATGGCCGTAGTCCCTTTTGCGGCAAAATTCTGCAGAACAAGCTACCAATCCAACGGCCACATCTCGAATCATGCGGGGTTTGTACCGCTCGAACAGGTGCAGCAGCACATCTTGCTTGATCTTCCTGGTGATTTCAAACTCTTCGGCAAGGCGTTTCCTGGAGATATCATGGTGTGCCAAGTAGTCACCATCAATTCCATCCTCCTTCATCAGGTCTGCAACTGCTTCATATTTGCTCCCCAAACCTTTCACACGTTCCCAAACCTCAAGGCACGTTTCCTTGGCAAGAGGTGATGCAAGTTTCTCTCGAGATGGCAAAGCACGAACAAAGATCCCTGCCATCATAGTGGCAAACTTGCCCTCTAAGAGAACAGAGTGAACTGTCTCGCTCTTGAGATCCTCATTTCCAACTTCCAGCTTCAAAGCCTGCCTCAGCTGTTGTTCCATCCACGTTTTGAGCGAGTCGCTCGTCTCTCAAAATCTCCATGAGGCTCTCTTCCACTTGAGGCACAACTTGCAGGAACCTGACGTAGGCGACGGTTGTGCAATGCCAACCATATTGGCGGAGATATGAAGAAGCCTTGATCCTCTCTTTCTCCAATTCGGCCGCATTCTTTTCACTGCCCATATGGCCTCGCAACCACCCTACAATGTGATTGGTTGCGGCCCCCAGCGCTGCAGCCGCTGCCAACGTAATTGGCTCTGGCATGTGACAAATCTCTTCTGCTTTTGTCAGTGAGCAAGTGCTTGTGCCAAAAGCTGCACAATTGGAGAGTGCAAACAACAAAAGTCAGCGGACAAGTTGAAGGCCTCCGTGAGGCCTTGTCCGACAACCAGTTTCAACAGTCCCAAGGCACTTGATCGTCGGTTCCATCCACTGAAGCCAAGCATCGGGAAGCAGCTGCTCAGTGAAGCACCAAGGCCCTCCATTATTAAGCACCTGAAGCGTTGGGTGTTTTAGATTGTTTTGGCACCTGATCCACAAACTACAGGTAGAGGATGGCAAGGTATCAATTGCTTTGACCGCAAGCAACACAGTCTCAGGTGGACGGACCATCAGGGAATTGACAAAGGTTTGGGTGAAATTATATAAATAGACACAGAAGCCTTCCCACAAGCCCCTATTCCAAGTACATCATACACTGCATGCTCGCCACCTGACAGATGCTCCCTGGAAATCGTGCCAAAGGAAGACCCCCCCCCCGACAGTTCTCGTTGCGATATAGGGTTCAACATGGTTCAACCCAACATCCCCAAACTGGCCAGATTCCCATCCTCCCGCAGTAGACCCTTACTCTCTTGACGACTCTTGGAGAGTCAGCTTCATGGCCAGGGCACGTCATGCCTGGGAATGAGCTCTGCCAGTGGTGACAGACCTCAAGGCGCACGGGCCAAGTCAACTTGGCTAATTGAAGAGGTGTGACACTGAAGTGGGTTCCCTCCAGTCAAACAAACTGCGGTGGCCTACACAGACGGACTACAAGGTTCTTCACATGACGGACTTACAGACCTATATATTTGATCCTGAGCTTGAAGAATGGTTTCACATCACCAAAGGGTCGTAGGACATCTAAACCGCATGTCGATACCCGTTCGGTCGAAGTTCCTCTCCTCCACCCGGCAAAAAGGTCCAAACTTCAGCCGAAGGCACAGCCGGAGGAACGCAGCCCGGCACAGCGGCCCGCAGTGCGGTGTTTGTTCAGCTGAAACGGGGATCCTCTGCAGTGAAGAACTGACGGAGAACGACAACACCTTTGCTGGCAACCTGATCAAACAAAATTTATCCAGAAAGGAACTACAGTGGCAATCTGATGTGCAGTGAAGCACCTGATGGCCATTCTCCAGGGGAAGCATGGAAATTGATCCAAGAGATCCAAGGTGTTCAGAAATGTTCAGACTTACACTCACACCCTATGTCTTGCAGCCACAGCTTCCCTGTCCTGACGATCTTCACCCGGCCTAGCAGCTCGGATCTTTTTGGAAAATCCAGTGTAGTGGAAAAACAACTGGAAATGGATACTTCCGAAAAATTGTGGCACTCCAAACCACGGGTTTTAAGACTCCAGGCTAAACGCGAATGGTTTAAGGATGACTGCGGGCGTAAGCCCATGTTCAAGAAACTCCCCAATAGCCAATAGCTGACAGTCTCCCACCATTTTGTGAAGGGTATATATTGTTACAGGCACCAAGCATAGTGTATGAATGTGCATGAAAGGGCCACTTCTACTCTTGGCACCCACGTGATGTTGATGGGTTGGTGGGTCAAATGGGTGCAGGAAGCTCCTCCCCAGACCCCGGACCATTCAGTATCTTGTCATTATAGATCTGATCTCGAGATGCCAGGTGGCCACCCATGTAGCTTGACCTTCGCATGTCAACCAAGGTCTCCCAGTTTGAATGACCCATATCATCCCACATCCACATATATATGTATAATATATTATAATATAATAGTACGGTTGATTCCTTCCAAATTGGCAAACTATTCCTATCCGACAATCGCTCCTTACACGTGGCCCTACGCCATTGCATCTGCGCCCAGCTGCATCGCGTGAACGTTCCGCGGTGTCTGGAAGGAACACCATCGTCTCACAGGAGCCGTGTTGCCTTCTTCAATGCGTTCGGATCAACAGGGGGTTGTTTGTCTTGCTCGTCTGGCTCGTCTTCCTCCCATGCGGCGAAAGGAAAGCAGCATGACACCATAAACGACCCAAAGGACACCCAATGCGCCAGCCTCCATCAGCGGCACCCATCGACTCTCGCAGTGACCTGCTGTGCAGCGCAGACGAAACGGGTCTTCGCGGCATATCAAAGGCAAGCAGCAACAAGCAGCTGGCTGTGAACAAATGTGAACCGAACTCCCTTACCGCAAAGAGAAACTCAGGTGGCCTCAGAAATCAGAAACCTCATGAGTAGTGGGTACTGTCGCTTCTAATCCGAAACTCGATCATTTCACAGTCTCCTTCATCCGCAAACGCCCCAGCCCTCCATATTGACCCCTCAGCTCCACTCTCACTCGTTCACGGAGCCCGAGGGCGCTCGTCCCACAGCGGTCGGTCTCTGGGGACGGTCCAATAGCAGGTGCCTTCTCTTTTTTAAGATGCTCTCTGGGCGGTTGGGCGCTCAGCCAGACTTCTATAGACAGGTGGCGACAGGTCTTTGGAACAGCTCTGGTGTTCAGCTCTTCGTTCGCAATCCCCTGCGGAGACCTTCCAAGGACACTGATTTGGTGGCGACATGGACACCCCAAGAAACTCCAAAACGAAGCACTCCCTTTTGCAGTCCTTCTCACTCGGTTAGATGATACACCCTTTCTGTCCTCAACAGGCAAAGCCAATGATATCTCTCCAGCACCAAGTGGTTGAACCCAGAAATTCCATTGGACACAAGCTGCCTGGCGTCGCTGTTGCCAAGCTTTTAACATTGGGCACTTTGTCCCATGGCTGCCATGGCTGATGTCAGCTGCCGGAAGAATTCAGACTTCTCTTGGGGTCCTGGGCGTCCCACCAGTGACAGGGAGAAGAGTCCTTATTGGATCCTTACTGACTTGAAATGACGACTCAACTTATCTCAACAGGCTGTTGGTGGGGCCTCGACATCCCCAAGAGATAAATCCAAATGGAACGAATTCTCGACTGGAGGTAGTGCCTCCAGCGAGGTCAGAAAAATGCGGATGTCTTACAGACTTGGCAACGAATTCAGCGCCGGTGCTCTTCAAATTGCCCAAGCACCTTCATAAGAAATGGACAGCACCTCAGCGCAAGCTTTCCACCCGTGTCGGGGCACAGGAGCTGGTCTGGAGTACCAAAACCGCTCGCTTGGCGCCCAACTGCCCAGTTCGGCTTCCCGCTTCGTGAGCTGCTCCCGGGGCTCCCTCCAAACAGGCTCCCTTCCCATGATGAGCCTGGCTGAAAGATAAGGATACATGGTTACATGGTCGGTCCCCGCTGCATTCGAGCTTCCTGGTTTTTGCACACCTGAAGACCCCCCAGCCCTTGCCAAGACAGACCTCGCATGCCGAGCCACTTGGCTCGCCACAGAGACCATGGCAAGCATTGCGAGGAGGCTGGAGCAAATCCTCGAGGGACTTCGAGTGGGACGACCCATGTGACCAAGTCCAGGTTGTGGATGCCCTACAGGCAGGTTGGACTGGACATTTGGCCAAATATGACTTTCATCTGCCATGTAGGGTCATCTGCCATGTTTGTTCAGACCGAAGGAGCTGAGGAGAATCAAAGGTTGGTTTAGTTCCCTTCATTGATCTCACCGCTCATGTATAAACCATTTTGCACACAAATCGTTCATGTCCATATTAAACATGAGCAAGTTCGTTCATCCTGGACGCTGTTCCGCTGTTTGTCGACTGCCTTTCTTAGCCTCTCAAACTCTCCATGTGCCCCGCCATGGAAAATCAAAGCCACCCCTTCAACATGTCGCCTGCTTTTCGCGGATGAAACCGTGGTGCGGGCAAGGGTCATTGCTGCAATGATGGACTCCGAAAAGCAAAGGACGGCCAGAAGTATCGCCATCAGAGCCTTAGCTCTATTGAGAGTCCGCCCTTATTCACGAGCAGCCACCTCAGAAACACTCAAGAAATGATTAGGACCGCACTGAATGGACCTGTGCCCCATGAAGAAGAGGGCTCAACAGATTTGGACCTCCACAAGTAGGATACCAATGCAAATGATCCACATCTGCATGGAATCTCCACATTGAACCTGCTCTGTTTTCCACTGGACGCCAGTCAACCCCTTGGGCCCCACGAACCACCTACCAGTAGCAGCTCAAACCGCCCAAACCACCGGATCTCCACCGATCGGTGCCTCGGACGATCGGGGTGGTCGCCGATTCTGGCCCCACCACCTCCGGCAAAGCGATTGCATGGACATCCATGGACCATCCGGTGTCTGGTGTCTGGGTGTCTGGTGTCTGGGGTCCCTCCCACACCTACCTGGGTGGGACCTGATCTGGTGAATCCCGCCCAGGTGTCAGGTGAGCCATTTGTTCGATCATGTTCCGAATACCAGGTGAGTGAAGCTCTGAAATGGGACTCCATCTGGGTGCTCTGCAGGGAGGGTCGGGTGCCCTGCCTGAGTCTTCTTTTCTCCCCCGCCCTGACCGCCATCGAGAGACCGCCGCCCAGCCCACGCTGGCCAGGAGGGTGGGTAAATCCGCACAGCGGGCGCCAAAGACCTTTGCCGCTCGATGGACCCGGACCGGAGCGGTACCGGCCCTATACCCAGTCCACCCCTCCTCCTCCTCCTTCGAAGGGTTTAGAAGTGGATTATGAGAAAGTGGAGGCCGGCTTGAAGCGGTATGTTTTCCTCCTCCCGGATTGAAAGTGCCTCGCACCCAAGAGCTTAGAGCATGTTGGAGCATCCTTCAAACATGCCTCGTGTCTTGGACAGGTGTCTTGGGTCTTGCTTGCCAAAACGGCCCACCTGTCTTGAGTCCTCCAGCAACTGTCGAGCGGAAACGCAAAATCAGCACGTTCTTGCTCTCATTTGCCCTCACCGTTTGGGAGAAGTCTGCCAAATGCGTTTTGGTCGCCCGAACGGCCACTGAAGGGCCACTGTCCCACGAACGCGGGGAGAGGCTGGCGGGTCCGCGGTTCCTGATGGGGAGCTCTCGAAAGTGTTCGTGTGCCACATGGTATGGAAGCTTGTCCTGAACGCACCCTGTGAGAACTACCAAAAGCCTAGCAAATCTAGCATGATGGCAAGCCTTCCTCCACAGCCCCACCCAGCTGCTCATGCCCGAGGTGCTTCAAGCAGTGCTACCTCGTCGTGCGTGCTGAACCTGGCCGAAAGACGATGTTGGACAAGATGGGGTCCCAAATCCCAAAGAGACTTTTGGTGACTATAGCATAGGTCTTTTCAGAGCATGCCTCTACCTCCCCGAACGCCCCAGCACCGATGGATCCTGCCCCAAGCACAGATGTAGAACTTCTATATCACATCTCCACATTGTGGTCCGGACCGACGTCAGTTGCAGATGTTGAAGTGATGGTGAGGTCCCTCCCGGGTCAGCACAGAGTGGCTTGGCCCGATCCCACCCCGCGGCGGAGAAGCAGCCCCCCCCCCTTTCGGGCTCCCCCAGATCGGTGAGTTCGGCCCGAGGCGATGCTTGGATTGGTGAAACGGTTCCCCTAAGGGGCTTGAAAAAAGACCTGAGCGACCCTGACGACCTCCCTGTTTGGGAGCCCCCAAAAGCGTGGTCCTTGTCCCATCAAAACCCCCAGTGAAATTCAGGGGTCCTTTGTTTCGATTGTCTGCCAATTCGGCCAGGAGGCGGACAAAAAAGCCTCTCAAGTCTTTCCTGATCCGCCATGCAGACCCAGACACGCATCGAAAAACCAATGCCTTCGAACCAGTCGTGCTGAGTGGGGTGCTAAGTGGCAAACGGAGAAAGGTGCCGGCGTGGCGCCACATCCTCACGATCCTCATCCACTCACGGGAGGGGACCAAAAACATCTATGTTGGCCACCCCAAAATGCGACTCCTGGAACAAAGATATTACTGTATATATACCTGTAGTGCCAAATGAATACCTTTTTTAGTTAAAATACATACGGCCTGTTATTCTTACACATACGGCCAAAGCTGGTCACATGATCAAATACGGCCATATACGAGTTTGACCTGGTTTGCCATGGTTGCATGACTAACATGAACCGGCTCGCATTCATTTGCTCAAGCGGCCGCCGGCATCCGTTCTTTTAGAGCTGGGCCGTGCTGCTTGGGGCCTCAGCTACCCTTCAGTCCAAACTTTCTGGACCCTACAGAGGTACCGTTGCAATGCCCGTAAGGCATTGGTGACAGGACTGCTTCGCCGGGTAATCCGGGCGATGTGTCCAATAAAATCCTGCAGTGCATTTTGGTAGGGCCATTGTTTTGATATCTCCGGAAGAAAGCAGGCTAGAGCAAAACAAAACCACAAAAGTTTCACAAAAACCTGGTCGAGCATCCTCATCCTGAGAATTGCTTTCGCAAATGGGGTTGAGAACAAATGCAGCCGTTGGGGATGCTGATCTCTTGCAAAGCCACCGCATGGTGTGATCTATCATGTGGATCTTTGAGTGCATCGGGAATCGAAGTGACCTCCGGGAAAAACATTCCCAGGCAAGCGTTGCGTACATGCAAACAAAAAGCCGGCCCTTCTTGCCAGCTTCTGCTGCTTCTGCTTTCGTCAGCCAGAGACCACTGCTGTAAAGCAAAGACATGCAAGCGTTAATCGCTCGACATGCATCAAAGATCAATTGCAACGTTCTATGTCTCTCGACTTCTTCTGCACGTTCCTGCAGCAAGAATTCCAAAAACTTGCAGTACACAGTGGTGTCTGCATGCTTTCCCCAAGCTGCGTCGGGACACACTTGATACGAAGTCATGGAAATTCGCTCCTTGCAAAAGCCGCCGGAATGCGGCAAATTCCTTCCTGGCTTGGATGCCCATGCACGAAGGAGACCGTCAAGCTCTGAACATTTGTGTTCTAGCGAACCTGGGCCCATCAGAAGAACAAGAACTTCTGCAAGAGAGCTGGCGATGAAGTCCTTTCCCAAGCCTCCATGGAAATTGTGAAACAAGTCGGTCTTCAGAAATTGTTCAGGCGCTTCTGCTACATGGCGCAGCTTCAAAAAAGATGGCGGTGTCGACCAGGGAGGTGGACAAGGGCCAGCCAAATACCAGCTTGCATCCTCATTGACATCTTCGAACGGGTGGTCCCTTTGCCCTGCTGGGCACAGAAAGCACATGCCAGGAGGGTCGCGACTGTGAGCAGTGACCTCCTTCTTGGCTGCCCGCAGGTAATGTCGCTCTAAGGATGCTGTCTTTGTCAAATATGGAAGGTCCCCTTTCAAGCCAAGCACCTGAATGTGCCAAGTGCGACCATTCCACTCAAAGCCGTCATCTTGGAGTTGGACAAGGTCGTCCACAATGGCGCTGAACAACTCACGGTACACTGCAGGCCGCTTTTCATAGAATTTCTTCGGCATTGCTGCCAGTAAGAGGCGCGAAAGGAAAGAGCTTCCAGACAGGTTCAAGAGTTGTCGTTTTTTGTCTGCTTTCTGTCCCTTGGAAAAGTAGTGGTTTGATCCACGACCGATCAGACCTTGCAAGGTGACGCACATCACTCCGGTTTTCTTCAACCACCTCCCTTCGTCACCAAAAAGGTAGGTTGGAATTGTCCGGGATAAGCTTGCTTTGCCTTGGCGAGATGCCTCAAAAATTTGGTGGGTTGGAAATTCAGCGCTGTAGTGCTTCCAGAATTGAAGACACGCACCTTCGACCTCTTCGGAAGGCAGTCCTCCCAGAAGGTTCTCAACCTTGCCAGTCTTCACCATACAAGCAATAAAGCTTGAAGGCTTCAAGTACGGAAAGGACAGGGTATCTGAAATAGTATGCCAGCTAATTTTGACATCCAGCGCCAGGCCGTGGCTGCTGAACCTTGAATGGCTCCACGGTCCCGCAAAAATTGCCTATATATGAAATCGATTGATAGAACGACGGGTTTCAAGTGTTTTTTGGTGAAAATCATGAGAGAAACCTTTCAGTTTAAATTCAAACACCAAAAAACACTTTGTGGCAAACCTCTTCAGCATGCTTGCCGATTCTGGCCGATGAAAGCTTGGAAATCACTGGGCAGGTTGTCGGTCCAAAGTGTGCTACTGCAGCTCGCGCCATAGCCACAATGGAAGTAGCAGTATCCTGGAAACAAGCATGTATATTGTTTGCTCTTTGGGGTGGTTGCCATAAAAAGCAAGATCTCTGAGATCCCAACCCCAACGGCAATTCTGTGAGCCGCATGCACGCCCAAGGCGCCAACTTTGCCTGGCAAGGCTTGCATGGAACGATCCATGCCCCATTCTGATCAGGCCGGGAGGGCCTGCGCTACTGAGAGAAGTGCACTCTGAACATGACCACTCACTCCCATCAAAGCGTGCAGGTCAAGTGTTTTCGAGCGCACGCAACATGTCAAATCCCAAAGTTTGGTGCTAGTCTTTACTTGAAAGCTGCAAATGACGGACGTGTTCATGGCTTTCACCACACGTCCAAACCCAAGCACACTAAGTGCATGATTGCATCTGGCAACCACGCAGTAGTGCTAAACCCTAGTCCTTTGACTTTCGCTGCCTTTTGGAGGAGCTAGCCTTAGGAGCAGACTTTGCTTTTGCAGACTTCCTGGACGCAGGCGCTTCCTGCTCCAGTTCATCTCCATCAGGCTCATCCCGGTTCCGCTTTCTCATCGCACGTTGGAGGGACCTGGAGAAAGGGTAAGACAATTACCGAAAACAACAGAATTTGCTTTCAAGATCCTTCAGGTATATACACAGCATGTTAACAATTCCTGAGTTTCTGTTTGCCTTGCTGTGGACTCCGCGCGCGTAGCTTTGCACCCCCTCGGAGACATGCAATATATATCCATGGTCCATGGATGATATTTAGAATTTATATACGATGCATGGTTTTCGATTGGCCCAAGCAACACAACTTCAGCGCGGTTGTGCAGTCGATCGACCTTGTCTTGGAGCCTTGGGGAGCTAGGACAACAGCAGTGAAGAGCAAGCAGTTTAGAGGTTAGATGCGCAAAAGGATGAAATGCACCAGGGCTCTCTTTGGGAAGAGGAAGCTTTGACCGCTTTGATTTCAATGTGCCAAGGACACCCGCCATCTCATCGTACAAATTATCCAACTCAGACTTTGTGGCATTGGCGGTCTTGACAAAGCTACAGGGGTCGCAATTTTTGCGTCAACCAGGAGTTTGCAACCCAACATACAAACACAAGTGTTCCAACGATTACCGGCCTGATCGCATCAGCAGACTTGGAATTTGCGAGCTTGGTAGTCAGTTCAGTCATTTTGGCAGATTTGGTCATCAAGGCCTCCATAGTACTAACCATTTCCTGGTATGGGTCCTGGGACATAAAATAATAAACATAACATGCAAGTTTCTGGGTAAAACTCGAGCGGCCGCGCAGGCTTGTCCTCGCCCAAGAGTTCTGCCTCTTTGCCGGGATGCTCAGCCTCCACCGGGGCACCTCCAAAGTCAGCGGGTGCTGAGGGCTGGTGACGCACGAACGTGACTCCTTTGCCAGACTCCTGCTTGGTCTCTTCACGTCTCTTTTTCATGGTATGGCTGTTGGACAACTTGCCAGATTCCTCCACATCCACCCAGTGTTTCAAGATCTTCGAATTGTATTTCCAGGGCCTAGGCTGTAAAAGAAGTGTTGGGTAATACTTTTTGCGAACTATGAGCACCCCACTTGCGAAGGTCAGGGTGTCTTTCCGTATAGGCCACCACATCAGCAATCTCAGACCTGGGCGCGCAAGAGGCATTCTCCCACCCCACCTGGATCGCTTCTGATGGACAGGAGTTGAACGTTAAGCTCCCGACTTTGTCATCTTCAAGTTGGTTTTCATTTCACGTTCCGAGTAGAACCCGGACTTAATCTCACTCTTGGACTTGCTCTTTTCCTCTTCCCTCGTGGTGACCAAGGTCTTTAGAGCCGCCTAAGGTGTGGCCAACCGGTTCCATACTATGTGTTTGAAGAGTTCGCAACAAATTGAAGGGGATCACACACTTGGAAATCCGGGCCTTGTCCAGATTGCATTCCTTAAAAAGGTCAGTAGCAGCCTTCCTGTCTTGAAGAAATAGTTTGCGTAGGATTTCTCCACCCTTACACTTTCCGCTTTTCTTGACCTCCACAAAGCGCCTAAGACGCTGTTCAATTGCCGACTCGCTCAACTTCTTCCCCCTCGACCAAAAGTTACCATCGTCATCCATGGTCACATTGTCTTCCTGGC